GGTGACCTAAAATCAACACACCCCTCCCTTTAATGAATCGAATTATGCAAGTGCAGCGAAACAGAACGTTCCCGTACAGAAGTCATTCAACAGAGTATGTATATAGTTTGCTACTGTACATACATACACAGAAAAAGGAGCTTATACCAGATGTGGGCAGAGTTGACATTACAGGTTACATGCACTGCTTTAACCCTGGGTTATTCAGTGATATACATCCACATCTCATTTGATTATTTCTTTCATGATTGGGTATTACAAATCATTTTAAAATGCTAAAATATAAAACTAATGAATATCAAAATAATTCAAAACAAGTATAGCTATTAACAAGATAACAAAATACAAATAGCAATCTAAATCTCACAGGACTTTTTTCAGGTCAAAACAACCGAAGAAACAAGTATTGTTTGCTCATTAAATTGTAATTGTTTAAAATAATCATAACAATATATTGTATTACATAATTTTTTTAATATTTAAAAACCCAAAGGTTCAATGTATGAGTTGTTACTCTTTGCGTTTATGGTTCAAGAGACAGAATTTCTAGAGCTGTTAAATCTCAAATTTTGTAAATCATGCCAAAAACTCATAAATGTCATGTTTTTATGGCTTCCATAATGTTACAATATTAACATCTTTTTATCCAAAGCAACTCGTCATGAGTAATTTATTATACAGCGTAAAAAGTATTATCATACATTTAGAATATCAAGTATAAAAGTGTCACATATATACATTAAATATTATTATTAAGATTTAGATTTAAAAAATATTTATTGTTTATCTATCTATAAATTATATACTAGGCCTGTGAGTGTGTACATATACAAATACTTCTTTGTCATAAAAATAATCTATTATTTACTATTCAAATTTAATATTCACTGTTTTAGACCATCAATATGCTCTCTAATAAGTTAGCTAAAATGACCTTATATTGAAGAAGAAATTCATCATAATTATGTCTTTGTTGTTACCACCTGTTGCTCTAAAACCACATACTTCTGGTGTAATGATTAAAAATCATATTACAACACAGCCACATGTAGCCATGTAGATTTTTCCCCTTGGTGTGTAACAAAAATAATTTCCCATAAACAGTGCGTCTCTACAGAATGTTCAAGTTAATAATAATGCAAAATAATAATATCAATGAAGAAGGACTAACTTTTAACAGTGTTATCGAAACAGCAGCAGGTGTTGTGTTTGACTTCTCTGGTTATTCATCAGCAGACGGTGGGAGAATCCGACACAGATGCAGCTGTCCTGGGGCCTTCATACTGAGAAACTAAAAAACAAAAGCAAAAAAATGCAACAAAATTGACTTTATCAAACAAATAACAGCTTTAAGTTCTTTTGGTATGAATTAGTTGACTTTAAATAAATCAATTTCCCCATACTAAGATTTTATTTCAAAATCCAACAGATCGACCAATCAGGCTTTGCCACATGGTGTGGGACACCTATCAGAGAACCCATATCTGCTCTTATAGACCCTCGTTTCGCCAAAAGACCACAATCTTTTTGGGTACAGTGAGGTCTACCAACCCAAGCACAGTATGTGGCTTACACTGGCGGCCCTTCTGACTCTGTGTGCGACGGGGAGAAGTGCGGAAAACAGTTCAGAAAGCAGCGCTGTGGAGGAAAAGCTTCTTATAGCCAGAGGAAAACTTATGGTGAGTGTACAACAGCTGAAACGCAAGGAGGTTTGCTCTAATGATGCGACACAGACTGCATCAAGCATAGAAGCTAATGATGTTACAATACAGTTCATTATAATTCTGGGCAATATAAACACCCACAGTACTTTTCAAAAAGTTTGATTTGAAAAGTGAGATTTTTAATGTGTTTGAAAGTCTATTCTGATCTAATTTATTTGATGAAAAAAATACAGTAAAAATTGTAATATTGTGAAATATTATTACAACTTAAAAGAACTGTTTTCTACTTGAATATATTTTAAGAATACAATTTATTCCTGTGATCAAAACTGAATTTTCAGCATCATTACTCCAGTCTTCAGTGTCACATGATCCTTCAGAAATCATTCTAATATGCTGATTTGATGCTTAAGAAACATTTATTATTATTTAATACTTGAGGAAGCTTTTTTCGCTGAATAGAAATTCAAGAAACATGATTTATTTGAAATAGAAATCTTTTGTACCATTATTTAATGTCTTTAGTGTCACTTTGATCAATTGAATGCATCTTTGCTGAACAGAAATAAGAATTTCCTTCAAGATCTTACGGACACCAAACTTTTGAGCAGTAGATTGTTAAATTACATACTCATTAAATTAAATTTAATGAGTATGTACAGCAGTAAATTAAATGCTGTACAAGCTATAATGTCATAAAGAACAGTTGATAAAGAATGAGTAAAAATTTTGCTATACTGTAAATCCCTCTTTAATCCTTTCCCAGGCTCCCAGTGTCGTGGGATGATCCATAAAGAAGATGCCAGAGCTCTATGAGTTCCTGATGAAGCGATGGGCACTTTAGTATCCTGACATTATAACTCATTTTCTTGTAATTCCTGTTTTCGGTTTAGTACGTGTATGGTGACTATTGTCTTTACATAGAGTGTCTATCATTTCTTCCAAATAGGCTTTGGTAAGAGGGTATTTGACAGGAATGGGAATGTTAATGAAATCTTTACAGGCCCTCGTGCTGCCATATGTTTAAAGACTTCGAGCACGGAGTCATGCACTTCATGGCCTCAGAGGTCATATGCCTGGTGCCGTTAACCTTAACCTGCTGTTTAAAGTCATAACCTGGAGTATGATTCAGGAGAGGAAAAAAACCCACGGCTGATCTTCTACAACGATAAGGATGAGGAAGTGAAGGTAAGGACAACCTTATCATTTTACTTGCAAGTGTACGTTTTTTGACTTGACGATTTTTCCACTGAACACGTACAAATACAGAAACACTGAAGCACAAGGTAGAAATAAAAAAAATTTAATTAAATAAAAATAAAAGTTGCATTTTGGGATTAAAGTCGAAAGTTTGTTTTTTTTTCATTGCCGTTCAGGGCAACATAAAAAAAAAAAAACACGCACCTGCATGTGTTCAGTGCGAAAAAATTACAAAAACGTACACATGCACATAAAATAAAATAACTTTAATTTTGTTCTTGTGGTATGAATTAAAAAGGTCAAAACTCGTTAGAGTTTTGGCAAAACTCTAGGCAAAGGCAAAAACTCGAATAGTTTTTAGTTTCAAATGGTGTAGCATAAATGGCCCCTAAACATGCGTCATCGTTTACGAATACCTCCGTTTTTTCACAGCATACTGCGGCCCTGTTTACACGAGAACGCTCGCGGGTGAAACTGAAAAAAATATTTTATCGGATGTGCCTTACGTTTACACGGCGACGGCGGTTTTGGGGCTTGAAAACGCAAATAAAATTGAAACAACGTGAAAATGGTGTTTCCAAATGTATCCACTTGAGGGCTTTGAAAAAGCTCTGTCTTCGTTGTCTCAATGTGGACAGGCAAGGGAAAAAAAATATGCTTATTCAAACTAAAACATATTAGTGCAAACAAGTCCTAAAAAATAATGGGTTAAAAACTACAGAGTAGTGTACTGTAGATGCCAGGACAAACCGTAGCAAAAGTTATGCGTTTAAAAAAAACACACACACACACACACACACGTGTAAACGTACGTAGCCTGAGACACGCTTACGACCGCACATGCAAATGGGCTGGTCCAGCCTAGAAAAAGTTTTTTTTTTTTTTTTTAATGATTTCAACATTTTGTTAAACAGTTGTTGTCAGATTTCAATGGTGATTTCTTAAGGTTGATGAACAGCTTTGGAGAATTTGATGTCTGTTCTTGCATGAGTGAAAGAGCTGCCAAAGACGCGTTTCAAAGATGGCCCGCCGAGTGAAATGACTTGCCACAGTTGCCAGGTATCTTTCACTCCACTGACAGCAATTTTTGCATACCTCAGGTTGTTCCAGTGAAGAAGATGAAGGCAGACGAGATCAGCAACTTGCTGGATTCTCTGGGTTTCTATAAAAGGTCACAGAAAGGCGAGGAAGTCCCTGAGGAGTTCAAACATTTCCCATTAAACGCGCCTCGGGACGAATTGTGACACCCGCTGGTCAGCGCCGGTACTGCAGCCTGCCGTAAATGACGTCCAGGGTCGTAAAGTTCAGAAACAGAAACGGACTCTGGACCGACACACACACATGGCTGGAGGCAGTTTGGCGCATCACTGTCCTAATTATAGAGATCTTACAATAAACTTTTTACATCTGTGGCTTGTGTGTCATTGTTTTGTTCTTTTTTCATTAAAATGTATGAGCCTGCTTGATTTTTTACAAAGGAACACAATTAGCTTACATAACAGACCCACTGAAATATGGCCATTAAAGAAAATAGGTGGCAAGTCGTTGAAGATGTCGGAATTAATGAGAAACCTAATTATTGAATTGTGGGAGTTTCTAAAACAAAGTCTCTTTTCAGACTGAGCTGCTAAAGAATAAACTCATTAATTATAATTGTATTATTCGAAATGTGGACTGTACAAAACAGCTCGCCTCTTACAAACATTCACAATATTAACCAGAGTTCCTTCCAAAATAAAACTACAACAAATTAATATGCGACACAAAATAAAGTTTAGTTTTCTGCTGACAGTGGTGGCTATAGACTTCATTAATTGTATTCCCCAGACAAATCTATTTCTTGTTTTGTGCATAAACCTCCACAAATTATATTATATTTGTTAGAATTATGTTTCAAAACAAGAAATTACAATGTTATGTGAAACCAAGTCTTAAGATACAGGTGTTTAGATATTTTTCCTTGAAAACAAGTGAAATACTGCATATGAAAATGATAATATTTGTATTTAATTTCCTTTTGATCTGTGTAGTATCATTAACTGTACGGTTACCATGGCGAGGGTGACATCTTAATCTGCTGTCAGACTCCATCTGTTTCCTCGGATTTAATCTGTTCTCGAAAGACTCCCATTAATCTCAAACCACACACACTGAAGTGGATGGACCGAGTGGTGTTGTCTCCACCATGCCTGTGTTTTACACACCGATCCCTCAGAACCTGAGAGTGGGTCTGGCTAATGTCAGCGGGTCAGTGTTTATAAATAACAGGACACGAGACAGTGGAGACTTCAGGGACCCGTATCAGGATAATGAAGGTGAGACGTCCAAATGAAAAGCACTGTACAGCCTGTCTAGATTAGAGAGGATATTTGTTACACTGTTGGTCTTTGTCAAATTGCACAATTGGATATCAAGGAATATATAATAAGAACAGGAACTTTCTGTTCTTAATAGTTTGTCATAGAAAGAAGTCTCTAAACCAAGGTAGCAAAGATACAGTAAAACTTTTTTAAGGATCATGTGACACTGAAGACTGCAATTGATGCTGAAATTTTAGCTTTGATCACAAGAATAAATCACTTTTTTTTTAAATTAAACAGAATATATATATATATATATATATATTTTAGAGACTTATTTATATGACAAACTATTACTATTATCACTATTAAATATTAAAAACTATTAAATATCACTGTTGTTACTGTATTTTTTATCAAATAAATACAGCCTTAGTAAAGACTAAAACTTTGTGTATATATACTGTATATTACATACAATTTACTTAAAATACAATTTTTTTTTATTATATTACACATTACATACACAAAATATTTCAATCCTTTTTTTTTAATTCAATTTGATAAAATTTTACTATTAGCCTAATTGAAATGCATGAATCTTGAAAAAAGAGGATTGAAATATTTAGGATATAAGAAAAAGTACAAAATCTTTGGTCACAAAAGGAAACTTATATAAATCATTTTCATTATCAATTTCATTATGATCTCATTTATATTGCCAAGGTTATTGTCATTTTTCTAAGGGTTCCACTTATTTAAGACAAGATGATTGGTCTTTTCATCATGCAGAAAATAAACAACATTTACCTTTAAATTAAATTATTCATTGTATTGTCAACATTCCTGTATGATTTTAAAGGTTAAATTAATTTGGGACAAACCAAAATCACTTTTTTTAACAGGGTAGTAGGGCGATTTAATGACAAGTCGGTAATTTTAATCTTACGTTAAGATAATATATTATGACAAATGCATCGAATAATCTCACTACAAAAAATAATTTCATTCATGCTAATTAAAAACATAACACAAATCATAATAGTCTCTATCTCAATGGAAGTGTTACAGCTCCACTCGGTAAAGAAAACCATAATGAACAATTCAAAAAGCAGTTATATTTCATTAAACATCATTACTTGAATACCTTGTGAACTGGCACACTTGTTGATCCCTTACTAGTGTTTGCGGAGGTCTGGTCTCATCTCCCGCTGCAGATGCTGCTGTACTTCAACATGTTCTTCTTCCCCTTCTGGTGGATCTCGGAGCTCATGATGCTGCATTTAAAGGTACATTCAGTTAAATGCGGTAAACATAAGGCTATTGTGCCCTAATAGTCAAATCCTTACTTCATGTAATGCAACTGCAAGTAGGCCTTAGCCTATCGCTATTATATTAAAGGGTTAGTTCACCCAAAAATGAAAATTCTGTCAGTATTTACTCACCCTCATGTTGTTTCAACCCCGTAAGACCTTCGTTCATCTTCGGAACACAAATGAAGATATTTAGGATATTAAGATCGCTCCTGCATACAGTCCATAGACTTCTTGAGGGACTGGCTCTTGCGGTCCTCGAAAAGTCATTAAAGACATCGTTAAAATACTCCAAGTGACTACAGGGGCTCAATCTTAAGTTTATCAAATGACGAGAACACTTTTGTGCGCAAAAAAACAACAAAAATAACGACTTTATTTCAACTATTCACGTCCTTCTCCATGAGCCTGTAAGTCAGTTAACGTAGTGTGATTGCGTAGAGCTACGTCACACGTAGGCTCACTATTGGCCGACGCTGGTCATGTGTGTGTGATGCGTGTGACGTACAATAACAGAAGCTAACGCTATTAAACTAGTAACCTGACTCGCGCAGAGGGAGAAATAAACGAATAGTTGAAATAAAGTCGTTATTTTTGTTGTTTTTTTGCGCACAAAAGTGTTCTCGTCGTTTGATAAACTTAAGATTGAGCCCCTGTAGTCACTTGGACTATTTTAACGATGTCTTTTATGACTTTTCGAGGACGGCAAGAGCCAGTCCCTCAAGAAGCCTATGGACTGTATGCAGGAGCGATCTTAATATCTTAATTTGTGTTCCGAAGATGAACGAAGGTCTTACGGGGGTTGGAACAACATGAGGGTGAGTAAATACTGACAGAATTTTCATTTTTGGGTGAACTAACCCTTTAAACAACTGTAAAAAATGGTCGTGATTTTAACGGTAAAAATGCAAAACTAATTGGTAAACAGAAAGTTTCCTTACTATATAAATAACTGTGATAAACCTAATGGTACATTTAATGTAATTTTCCTGTAAAATACCGTTAGATGTACAGTTTTTGAAAGTGAAAAAGAACAACTAATTGTATAATTTACAGTGAAAAAACGTAAATTGACACACAATTCCCGCAGTTCCCTGCAGGACACTTCACATTTGATGTATTTTTGTTGAAATAACTGTTTCTTCATAGTTTTCTTACTTTTTTCAAATCAGTTATGTACATAAGGGTTTTATGTTACAATGCATTTTAAAAATTTCATGTGTGTTACCATGATGATGTTTAATAGGGACTTTAAGCAACAGCTGTTGATAGAACGGCAACGGCAGCCGAAAGTAAACAGTTAACTGCCGTAGCTAAAGAGCGCAAACATCACTAAGCAACAGTAAAGAGGACGGCATAGGGGATAATTTAATCATAAGACTAAATACAAAAAGAAAGTGATTTTAAAAAGTAAGAGAAGGGTTGATTTAGGCATTTAATGATATACAGAAACGATTACAATGCCACATAACCTAAACCATAACATTAACTTTCTTATTCTGTCACGTAGTAACGACTACGGCAAATCAGCTGTTCTCCCGTAGTAGACGGTTACAGTAGAACGTCGCGAAGGAGCAGTTAATGTCGCGCATGCGCAATAGACCGACAGAATGCCGTTGCCGTTCCACAGAGGCTGTTGCTTAAAGTCCCTAATGTTTGTACAAAGGACACTGTGCAGCTTCTATATAATAGTATAACATGATCTTTGATTGATCATGCGACTCATCACTACTGGTGGTTTTCAGTGTATTACAAAGGTACAAAACAGATATTAATACTTCAATAAGTTGGTAAAATACCACCAGATAATGAAATACGGTTTATTACTGAAAAAAAAATCTGTAACCAATAACGGTGATACCATATTTTTAACGGCAACCACAGCTGCCGGTATTTTACCGTAAAAATTGTGTTTTATTTTTTACAGTGTACATCAAAAAGACATTTTATTTCCAACCAGAATCAGGGTTCAGTCTTCGTCCTCTCTCTGAGCCTCTAAGCTAAAATGAAATGATACTTTTAAATATGAAACTATAGCTATAGGTCAATACTAGTGGACAGTACTGTGAATTTGGGAATACTTCTTTTGTCACATACTGTTTTTTACCTACTATATAGTAGGGAAGTATGTTGTAAGTGATTATTAAAATGAATGCATGAACATCACTTTCATTATACTGGCAGGCCATTAGCAGCAATGCCAGATACAAATGTGTTTAAACATAATCACGGCGTGTGTATCCATGGTGATGGTCTGCCTTTGTCAAGTTCAAGTGCAACTGTTATATATTTTATCTTTAAGCTCGGCTACATCACAGCAGATTCTGCTGCAATTATCATTTCTAGTGTCAAGGCATTAAAGACCTTTAAAACACTGCAAACCTTGTAATAATATTTGAATAAGCTATTTTTTTTAGGTCAAACTAGGGTTGCGGGTATTTTTAAGGTCATATTTAGTAATGAGGAATGTTATTTATTTCTTATTCCCATAGTTCTGTTATCTGCCAGCATATTACCAGTGTCTGCTGGTGACGGGGATGGTCCTGATTAGCATATTGGAGGTATTGCGGGTGTATCTCGGTTACGTTGGGAATCTCAAAGAGAAGGTAATGCACACGAAATGTTAGAAGTCATTCATCTGAACACTGCTCATGCCTAACAGATTCTCGAATCGATGTGTGTGTGAAAGAAATAGAATAATCAGAGAAAGTGAGAAAATCGTGAGATTAAATGCTAATACTCGCACTTTGCTACTGATAAGTATTCATATCTGGCAGGTAAACGAAAAAAAAATAAATAAATGCTATAGCCATGAAGTAAGATTTAAAAAAAAAATTGTTACAGTTGCAATTTATTTCTACAAAAATGTGTTAAGTTATTTGATTTTATTAATTAATATCATTAAATGTACTGTATAATTAAATATAATTTAAAAAGAGTGTAAGAGTTATAACTAATAACTGCTAGTTATATTAAGGTTAACTAATATTTACCTTTAGATGTTTCAAAACATTAAAGTATTTGATTAAGTTTTAAAAATAACATGAAAAATTGAATAAATAAACATGAAAATAGAGATCACAGCTGATAAAACACATGAATTAAATCACCAACATATAAATAAACAAACAAGCGTGAAAAATAGGGACCACAGCTGATATAAAATTAATTAAATAAAGATGCAATATAAATAAATAACCACAAAAGTAGTGAAAGCTGATAAAACAAATCAATTAAATAGAAATGCAAATAAATAAATAAATAAATAACCATGAAAGCAGTGACCACAGGAGGTAAAATAAATGTAAAAAATAAAATAAAAATGCAATATAAATAAATAAATAACCATGAAAGTAGTGACCACAGCTGATAAATTAAATGAATTAAATGAAAATAAATAAATCAAACGGTGTCCATGGCTAAATAAATAAACAAAAGTTGTAATCTAAAAGAAATGTTAATGGTTATATTAAAATGTCACCTACGTTTCTTTCTTCACTCTTCTGTTTAGGTTCCAGAGTTAGCTGGATTTTGGCTGATCTCCTTCCTCTTCCAGCTGCCTATCCTCCTCTTCTTCATCACTGATCAGGACATCATCATTCTTCCTCTGGAGCGGGCCGTTCACTCTCTCTATCTGGCCTTCCTCCTGGGCGAGCTGTTGGCCTCGTTTCTCGCCCTGCGCGTCATGACTCGTAAACTCGCCCAGCAGTTTCACATGAGGCAGTTCGGGCCCGTCCAGGGTCTCCACACAGCAGAAGCCCTGCCAATGTTCGGACTGCCGCACGGGGGCAGGAGTGTGCTTCCCGTGAGGGACATACAGCCTCACTGAGAGATGAGGGAAGATCTGCAGGACACATTATTGTTGGTATGACCTTCAGCAATAAGTGCACTTCTTAATAAGAGTTTTTGTCTACAAAACCATGACTTGTAGTAAAAACCAGCAGGTGGGGCTAGTTGTCATTAGCTCAATTACCATGAGTTTAAACAGTATCAACAAGTCAAAAAGTGCAATTACACATGTTTGTCTGTAGTTCAGAACTGCCATCAATTGAATCAACAACATTATGAAGTCAGATTTTTTTACTTGTAAACTGAACTGTCTTATAACAAATTTTTCCAAACATTTGAAAATTGAACGCAATAACATTTCTGTTGTTGTAGAAACACCTCTAAAGCACATTGCAATATTGACTTTCAAAAATAAGCCCACTCTGAGAAATATTCACTGTAATAAAATATATATTTATGCTACTGTAATTTTAAATGAATATTTCTATTTCAAATAAATGCTGTTCTTTTGAACTTTCCATTCATCAAATAATCTTGGAAAAAAAAAAAAAAAAATCACAATTTCCACAAAATCATTATTTAGCATATATTAAGCAGTTGAACTGATTTCAGCCTTGAAAATAATAATAAATGTTTATTTAAAGCAGCAAATCAGCATATTAATGATTTCTGAAGGATCATGTGACACTAAAGACTGGAGTACGGTTGTGTTTTATGTGCTTTATCTAATCAAAAAAAATTGTGGCAACAGATTACAGGCAATATTATTAATTCAATTTAACAATAAAATTGAGTAATAATTCGTCAAATTAATTCCTTAAAAGTTAACCATTGAGTAAAGTGTACAAAAAAAATGTACATTTAAGTCGCCATTATTGTGATTGGTGTTTGTTTTAGGTTTGTTTTAAAATGACGGTTTTCTCCTTCAGTGATTCTGCTTGTTAACATCAGGTGTCTTCAATGTTGGCAATATAAAATAAAGAGTTCTTGATTAATATTTGATGTCTGTCTGTTATTCAGATATTTTTGTTGAATTTTTTTGGTGTAAACTTTACGCATTTTAAATGGTTAACTTTTAAGGAATAATTTGATTAATTATGAATTTGTTCAATTTAATTAATAATATTGTTTGTAATCTGTTGCCACAATTTTATTGACTAGATAAAGCATATTAATTTTTACAGTGTCATAATATTTAACATTACTGTTTTATTCTTATTTTTGTCTTGGTGAGCATAAGATACTTCTTTTAAAAACATAGAAAATCATACAGATCCCAAACTTTTGAATGGCAGTGTATATACTATATACTGTATATACTATATACTGTAAAGCATAATCAAACCATAAGAAATGTGAACAGATGTGATGTATAATCTAGACACATGGTGGCGCTCTGAGACTATTTCGCTCACTAGTCCACACTGCTGCAGAACACTGAATGACTCATCAGCCGAAACTCCCATGAGGAAGACACACATTTTAGACCATTTCTGTGACATGAAGCTGGCTGTTTCAATCAACATATTTGTAAAACATAATAATAAGTAATAGCAGTAAAATGTATTCAACTATTAATACAAATTCAGCTAACAAATCTGTATAAAATGCATTGTAATTGGGTTTAACCTTCATTAGGATATTCATAATATTATTACGACTTTGCAAACCTTACAATCATTTGAATTCATGACTACACCTTTAAAAATTATAATGCATTGCATGGTCAAGCAGAAAACTAACAGGGTGTTGCAAAATGTATAAGAGAATAAATTGACACATAGTGCTTTAAATTAATGCACCAGTTTTTTAAAGGTGCAACCATATTACTATTCAAGAATATGATTTATACAATGCATTACATATAGGGCTAGATGTTATCCAAATGTATTCATTAATACAGATCATTAGCCAAATCATGCGTTTACTTGAACAACTTCTACCAGATGGGAGGTTTTACACATGCACACAAACACACATGCGCACGCAGACACACACACGAGGAGCTTTTCATGAGCCAAAAGATAAAAGTAACTTGTGCACCATATTGACTCGCGTCTTATATTTGAGCAGTAATTTGGCAGTTCCTAGAGAGACAGAGAGTCTCTGTCAATGTGCAGAACGCCGAAACACAATTAATTATTACTATAACAGATGGGAGACCTGTCAACATTTGCTGGAACAACATTATAAAGCTAACGAAAACACTGGCGAGATTAGACGTTCGCCTCTGATTTCATTTCTAATGATTTCCGTCAGGACTTGTGTTTATTCACCATAATGGATGATTTTCCAGATTTTTTTACAGATATTGTTTTTCCATAAATGAAGAGTTCAGATGCAAAAGCCTCTAAATGCCATTTGAAATTTTCTTCTTTAATGATGATTTTTATCTAACTTGTATATTTAAGTTCAGTAATTTCACTTAAATAACAATTAATAGGTAATTATCATTGTTATTTAAGTGAAATTACTGAACTTAAATATACAAGTTTGATAAAAATCATCATTAAAGAAGAAAATTTCAAATGGCATTTAGAGGCTTTTGCATCTGAACCCTTCAAATATCTATCGTTCCTGTGTTCAGAACCACATACAGTGAGGTAGGCACTTGCTCCAGGTGTTGTTTTTCATTTGCATTAAACAGAGTCTGAATCTGCAACTCCGTCAATTAAGAAGATAGAGTCTTGAAGTCGAGCTTACAGTGGTTTCTGCTCTCGCAGCATAATTGTGTTTTCCTCCATCCTTGTTTGCATTTCAAAATGCTGCAGTGCTTCAAACATGGGGATGTTTTTTAGATCACAAACCAAATAGTCAAATTAAGAGGACTTTATTCTGCAGAGGTGCAGGAGTTCTCTTATCACCTCATAAATAAACGCTTAGATCCTTTTGAGCTCACCGGTTCAAGTGTGACCACGTCAGTGAGTCTCTCCACTAAAAAGCTTTCAATCGTTCTTTATTCATAGTTAGCTGGTTCTTGACTTCTATTACAATATATGAAAGGAATAATTAATTGTTTGGAGGTTGAATTATTAGAAAATAATAAATGCACGGCAAATCATTATTTTTCTAATTTTGCAATGGTCCGATGTCACTTATTCTGCTTATACTATGGTTACCACACCTTAAGACACTGTTCAGATGCTGCATTTAAAGACATTTGTTAAATTTTTGTCCTTAAAGGGTTAGTTCACCCAAAAATGAAAATTAAGTCATTAATTACTCACCCCCATGCTGTACCAACCCCGTAAGACCTTCGTTCATCTTCGGAACACAAATAAAGATATTTTTGATTAAATCTGAGAGCTAGATAAGTCCTACATAGACTGCCTAAGGGACTGGCTCTTGACGGCCCATAAAGTCATTAAAGAAAAGGTTTAAATATTCCATGTGCCTACAGCGTCTCAATTATAAGTTTATCAAGCGACGAGAATACTTTTTGTGCGAAAAAAACATAAATAACGACTTTATTCCACTATTTCAATACTTCCTTATGGGCGCATGCGCGAGAACTGAGACGAGGACGTTCTCATTCGTCTACTTCTTGTTACCGGCTGCTCACCGCTTAGGAGTTTTACCGCCCCCTACCGTATAAGATGATGATCCATATATAAGGCGCTCCGGATTATAAGGAACACTGTCGTTTTTTGAGAAGATTAAAGGCTTTTAAGTGCACCTTATAGAGCGGAAAATATGCTAATTGAAAAGCGTATGTACAGCGCGCATCTTCCTCTGCTTGTAAACAGAAAGTTTTGCGCTTCCAGCTATATCAGCACATCATCTTATACGGTAGGGGGCGGTAAAACTCCTAAGCGGTGAGCAGCCGGTAACAAGAAGTAGACGAATGAGAACGTCCTCGTCTCAGTTCTCGCGCATGCGCCCATAAGGAAGTAATGGAATAGTGGAATAAAGTCGTTATTTATGTTTTTTTCGCACAAAAAGTATTCTCGTCGCTTGATAAACTTATAATTGAGACGCTGTAGGCACATGGAATATTTAAACCTTTTCTTTAATGACTTTATGGGCCGTCAAGAGCCAGTCCCTTAGGCAGTCTATGTAGGACTGATCCAGCTCTCAGATTCAATCAAAAATATCTTTATTTGTGTTCCGAAGATGAACGAAGGTCTTACGGGGTTGGTACAGCATGGGGGTGAGTAATTAATGACTTAATTTTCATTTTTGGGTGAACTAACCCTTTAAAACGCTCTTGTAAGACTAATTTATCATCACAAGCCTCCATTGCGAATACCAAAACGTCATTTTAGAGCTAGTTACGGAGGCTTGAGCCATTGATAGTAGACTAATGCAGTTATTAGAGAGAGAGAGATTAAGCGTGTGAATATCCTGTGTCTGTGCCTCTCTCAACAGTGTTCGACAGCAGCGTCCATCTCTACTAAGAGTGAAACTGCAAGTTTATCTGCTTCAAGAACAGTGCCGTTATGACATAGTTTATTTATTTATTTATTTGACAGGGGCAATGCAAACAAACATAGTGTCAAGTCCAAGCATGTTACTGAAGTGTTGCATATAAAGTTTATAGCTATTGCTAACTTTCAACTCCTGTCCCTGGAAGGGCTTTTATACACAATAAAAATTACATGATTAGCTATTTCAGTAAAAATAATAATAATAATAATAAAAATACTAATATAAACATCCTAAATAAATATAGTTAAAAATTAGTACAGTTTTGGTTTATTTTTAACCAATTTTTTGGTTAAAAGTGAGAAATGTCATGTTGCTTTTTGCTAAATTATTTTACTGATAAAGTCGTCAGAGCAGAACTGGGCGTCCATATACAGTATGTGTGCGAGTTTGAGCGGGAGAAAGAGAATATCCGCTTTCCGTACATAATAAAACGCAATTCTGTGGCATAAAATTGTCATAATTAGTCATTTTTATCGTATTGTTTACTATACAGATGAAACTCGAAAAATTTTAATATAGTGAAAAAGTTCATTTATTTCAGTAATTCAACTGAAAAGGTGAAACTAATATATTATACAGACTCATTACATGCAAAGTGAAATATTTTAAGCCTTTATTTATTATAATTTTGATGATTATTATGGCTTACAGATATGAATTTCAAAATTAGAATATTATGAAAAGGTTGTCATCAGCTGTAAGCCATAATCATCAAAATTACATAGCCGTGCGTTTCCCTGAAAATAACTGCACACGTGTTTCAACCAATCAGATTGGTTTGATTGATTGGCAACAATAATCAGCACTTCAAAAGCACATTGTAAATAGAAACCGCTGATGCTCTTCACAGAGGCTTACACAGATACACACAGGAGAGTGTGAAACCAGCCACCCATCAGCATGTATCCAATATACCCCGTACTCATACTAACGGTAGAGCAGAAATCCTGGCATCTCCAAACAAAAATACAGACTCAGTACCAAAGTACCAGTTCTTTCGACAACCCTACTCACAATGGTGGAGTGA